ATAAAAATAAAACTATGACAAAGAACACTGATCTTTACTCAGATTCATCTATTGTTGACATTTTGCCCTATTCGCTTGTTTTCAATCTACATATATATAAAGATTCTGGGGCTTCCCTGGTGGTGCAGTGGTTGAGAGTCCACCTGCCGATGCAGGGGACACGGGTTCGTGCCCCGGTCCGGGAAGATCCCACATGCCACGAAGCGGCTGGGCCCGTGAGCCATGGCCGCTGAGCCTGCGCGTCCGGAGCCTGTGCTCCGCAACGGGAGAGGCCACAACAGTGAGAGGCCCGCGTACCGAAAAAAAAGAAGATTCTGTGTGTATAAATAAAAAATATTTTAAATAATGGTCCTTTATCCCTAAATACTTCAAAGTGTATTTTCTAAGAATAAGGACACTGCAGTTATCAGCTTCATAAATTTATATTAATATAATATTTACCTAATATACCATCTACCATCCATATTCTGAATTATCAGATGGCCTAATAATATCCTTTATAGGATCCAGCCTAGGATCAGGTATAGCATATACTTGTAACGTTTCTTTTCTTCTTCTTTTTTTCTTTACTTGTAACATTTCTTTAACGTCCTTTATCTAGATTGAGGCTATGCATTTTTGACCAGGGTACTACATAGGGGATATGTGTACCACACATCTGGAGGCATACAATGTCCAACTATTCCTCATTAGTGATGGTAACTGTCATCACCCAGTCAAAGTGTCTGATTTCTCTACTCTCTAATTACTATTTTTTCTCTCTGGCAACTAAAAGTAGTTAAACAATGCTAATATCTTGCTGCCTACGTATTTTTGAATATTTGTATAATATATAAAATCGAGGACCACGCACATTCTTTCTTTCTGTAGGTAGTTAACAAATGTTGAAACTAAGCTAAGAAGAAAAACAGCATCACATCAATCAAGATCTCTCTATCTAAATACACACCAATCTATTAATCAATACCTTTTGTATTGATAAATACATTTCACCAACAACTCATCTAATGCTATTATTCAGTCTCCATTTCCCCACCCTTACACCATCCCAATAAAAACCAACAGAGTACATAAAAGAGAAACTTGACCTGGTAGCAGTTCATAAGAGAAATATCTAGAGATCTGAGCTTAATAAGCCAACTAATGTGTTAAGATTACCAAAAGCTAATGACAGGATTCTTGGACTCCATTATCAGGAGTACAATGTTCAGGTAGCAGGAACTAAATATTTCCATTGTACTTCAAACTGGTCAGACCACATCTTGCAGTGTCCTCAATTCCCAAATCACGTTTATTAAAGGAAACATCTAGAGGAATACGACAAGAATAATGAAGGGTCTGAAATTAGCCTAGAGAAACATGCTAGCCAATTCTGAATAGGTAAATGACTGTCATTATGCAAAAAGAAAAGGAAGTACACTGCCCTGTCTGAAAGCTTCATGGAAGCAGATTTTAACTCACAGAATTGTCTAATAATACAAGAATTTCTACTTTGAAACATTAAGGAAAGATAACTGAAGATATTCAAGCGGGTTGAATTACTTCTTGTCTGAATTACTCCAGAGCTATATCTGAACTAAGTAGGAATGTCTGAAACAGGAAAACCAGTTGGTTTTTCTGCTCTTTTTGCCACTCCATCACCTGTTCCTTCTCTTCCTCTCCACAATCGCTTAAGTGTTTCAAGGCTTACTTGAAATGCTTGGCACGCACACACACTTAACATATACAAAATAAATTGGCATCTACTTTCTAAACTGAAGGTTCACCTTACTTTTGAACCTGGAGTAAGACGTTGCCCTCAGTCCGTGTTGAGTTCCCCACAAAAATTCCCTCTATTTCTTTAGTAATATTAATTCCTTGCCTCCCATGCCTTCCTCCTAAGCTCACTAATGTTACAAATGGCAACAGTTAACTGGAAATTTACCATCTACCTGAAGTGTCAATAGCAGCTGACTATCTGTCATCCACCTTGCCCCCTTTTTCTCCTTGCTAACAATTGGAGGATCAATTATATCACATGTATACTATGAATGAATAGCTTGGGAAACTCAGACAAAAATCTGTAAAATATGTAAAGTGCTTAGAATACTGCTACAGGTCCCTAAATGGGACCCTGGCCTCCAATTTTATTACCCTATAATTTTAGCCATTATGATCTTTTAAAAACAAACTGGATCAGCTAAAATGATCCTTTAAAAACATACTGGATCATGTCACTGCCCTACTTCAGTACACAACAATAATAAAAACAACTAACATTTACAGAGCACTTACTATGTGCCAGGCACTATTTTAAGCACTTTACATGTGCTAAGTTACCCAATACTCACGACAGTATGAAGCAGGCCCCACTTTACAGCTGAAAAAACTGTGCCACAATATATTAAGTAATTTGCCCAAGTTTGTACAGTAAATAACAGCACTGGGATTGGAAACTAGGAATTTTGGCTCCAAAGGCTACCTCTTAACCACTATGGTTTACTTCCTCTCCTACTCTTCAATCCCTTCCCCAAAGCATTTAAAATAAAATTCCTTATCATGGTCCAGAAAGCCTTGCAGGATTTAGTTCTTGCCTACCACCAGTAATGGCTTCACCAAACTCCTTACCTTAGCCTGCGCCACCCTCTTAATCAAGCAAGTGTCCTCATCCCCGCCTTCATCTTATATCTCTACCTCCTCTCTCTCACACTGGCTTCATTCTTGGTCCTTAAAGACAGCAAGTCCTTTCCTTTTTGCATTAGGATTCATTGCTAACAAACAACAATTTCCAGTTCAGGTTAACCTAGGCCAAAAAGGCAACTCAGAAGAAAATCAAGTAGCTCACACAGTAGACAAGAAGCTGGAGAACCAGGCAAGGAGACAGGGCAATTCCAAACAACTACGCAGGAAAACCCAACCACATCAATGAGCACTACCAAAGGAGGTCAGTATCACTAGGATGAATTCACTCCAACCACGTTTTACGTTTTTAATGTTTTTCCTTTCTAGATTCACAACTCAAAATCATGGAACAGGGAATCTAACTGATCTAGCTGGGGTCATATGCCTGACCTTTTATGTTTTATAAAAGGACCCTGAATAGGAATGTCTAAACTAAAACTGCACATAGTAGGGGAGATACAGTTTCCCAAAAGGAAGTCAGGGCATTATTCAGTAGGAAAAAAGAATATATGCTACACAACCCGCATCACCATGCCTCCCAAATCAAATGTCCACTAATTGCCTAAACGGCCTTTGCAAGTGCTATGGCTTTGCTTTGACTTGGCCCCTTCTCCTCCTTTTAGGGCTTACTCACTCAAAATACCACTTTTTAAAAGAATGTTCCTTGGGCTTCCCTGATGGCGCAGTGGTTAAGAATCTGCCTGCCAATGCTGGGACACGGGTTCAAGCCCTGGTCTGGGAAGATCCCACATGCCACGGAGCAACTAAGCCTGTGCGCCACAACTACTGAGTCTGTGCTCCAGAGCCCATGAGTCACAACTACTGAGCCTGAGTGCCACAACTACTGAAGCCCGTGGGCCTAGAGCCCGTGCTCCGCAACAAGAGGAGCCACCGCAATAAGAAGCCCACGCACCGCAACGAAGAGTAGCCCCCACTCACCGCAACTAGAGAAAGTCCACGCACAGCAATGAAGACCCAACGGAGTCAAAAATAAATAAATTTATTTAAAAATAAATAAATAAAAGAATGTTCCTTAATCATCCTCTCAAAGTAGCCCTCCTCTGCTACCCACTATCCCTGCCACCAATCAGTGGCATATCATACTGTTTAATTGCTTTATAATGCTTTTTAAAATAATTTTCTCATTTGTTTATCTATTCTCCCCATTAGATTATAGGCTCCATGAATATTGGGACTATATGTATATGATCACCAAAGATGAACAAAGATAGTAACATGATAGGTAGCATGATCTTTTAAAAATGCAAATCAGATAATGCTACTCCTTAGCTTAATATCCTTCAATGTTTCCCAGTACTCTTAGACTAGAATGAAAACATCTGTGGCTCATGTTTGCCTCCTTAACTCCTGCCTTTTGATAATTCCTACCGCTCTTCCCCAATTCAGGAACCATGCCTAGAATATTCTTCAACAGGCTCTTCACAAGAATAACTCCTTCTCAGCCATCAAATCTCAGATAAAATAACACTTCCTAAAAGGATCATTTCCATCACACTATCTAAAATAGTTTTTCCCTTCTAAATTATTCTTTATCATAGGACTTTCATATTTCCTAACCTGTAATTATTTCATTTACAAGCTTACTTTTTAAAAAACTAAAGTATAATTGACTTGCAGTATTATATTACTTTCAGGACAAGTTTCCTTCTTTATTGCCCACCTCCCCAACTACTTAGTCTTGCTCCCTGAGGGCAGAGTCCATCTGTATAATCTCTCCAAAGCCTAAGGCAGTGCCTGGCACCAAGTCAGTTCTCAAGTATCTGTTAGAGGAAGGAGAGAAGGGAAAAAGTGGTGTTTTCTAAAAGAAATTTTCTTTAGAAGAAAATTTAATTAGTACATCCAAGGTAAGATATTTCTATAGCTATAATCCTCTAGCCTTCCTTTCAAAACCAGGTAGAACAGAAAATAAGTATGTTTATTTTGTCATGTACAATTTACTTTGCTAGCTAATGAAAAAAAAAAGAGCTTTGAAGGCTCTTAAAGAGAAATATGAAGGGCTGAAGTAGGGAAGGACATTTAGAAATAGTTTTAAGGCTAACATCAAGCCTAGGCATACATTTACTTCCCTAGAAATAAATGGGAACTAGCAAAACATTGAACATAACTCATGATCAAAGAGCAATTGGCACTGAAACCCATACTTTAATTAGGTTTTCAATCATTTACTACAATTAGGTTTTCAATCATTTACTATAATATCATATTTATACCTTCATTACGTGCCAAATGAGGGTTTAATTCTCAGTCTTCTCTTTTATTTTACCACCATATATTATAGAAAATCCAAGATGATTTCACCAGATATAAGTCCTACTTACCAAGTGCTCTTGCTACTGCCAGAAATGGAATCTGGTCAATGACTGTGCTCCTTCTCACAGGTCCACTGTGAGTGAGCCGAGGTCGTTTCCAAACTACACGATTCACCCCAGACTTGTTCATCACGCTAAAAAACAGAGTTCACATCAATACTCTAAATGATTAAAATATAACAACTAAAGTAGTTTAATGTGTCAAACAGCTAAAAAATCAGATTATTGCAAAATAATGACTTATCTGTTTCAGATACAAAGATGCATAAACCAAAGCTCCTGTTCAGAAGGCAAAGACAAGATAGGGTAGATTAAGATGAGAATTTGGAGATTATTGAGGTAGGCTAGACAGAATGGAATGAAAGCAATGCGAATAGAAATGAGTAGATATCATGTATATAAAAAAGATAATTTTTTTTAAGGTCCAATGACAGGCACACACACACACACACACACACACACACACACAAATGGAAATACACAGAAATAGACTACCGCAATAGGACATAATACATTTTTCCCTTTTCAAATCCATTTCAGTGGGATTCAGTGGTCTTAGTAATTTCTGCCACAATATTCACTTTGTGTTTCTTTTGGATTTTTTTTTTTAACATCTTTATTGGAGTATAATTGCTTTACAATGTTGTGTTAGTTTCTGCTGTATAACAAAGTGAATCAGCTATATGTTTATATATACCCCCATATCCTCTCCCTCTTGCATCTCCCTCCCACCCTCCCTATCCCACCCCTCTAGGTGGTCACAAAGCACCGAGCTGATCTCCCTGTGCTATGCAGCTGCTTCCCACTAGCTATCTATTTTACATTTGGTAGTATATATATATCCGTGCTACTCTCTCACTTCGTTCCAGGTTACCCTTCCCTCTCCCCGTGCCCTCAAGTCCATTCGCTACGCTGTGTCTTTTCTCTTTTTTTTAATAAATAAATTTATTTATGTATTTATTTATTTTTGGCTGTGTTGGGTTTTTATTGCTGTGCACGGGCTTTCTCTAGTTGCAGCGAGAGGGGGCTACCCTTCATTGTGGTGAGCGGGCTTCTCATTGCGGTGGCCTCTCCTGTTGCGGAGCACGGGCTCTAGGCACGCGGGATTCAGTAGTTGTGGCTCGCGGGCTCTAGAGCACAGACTCAGTAGTTGTGGCACATGGGCTTAGCTGCATCACAGCATGTGGGATCTTCCCAGACCAGGGATCAAACCCGTGTCTCCTGCATTGGCAGGCGGATTCTTAACCATTGCGCCATCAGGGAAGTCCTATGTCTGCGTCTTTATTCCTGTCCTGCCCCTAGGTTCTTCAGAACCTTTTTTTTTTTTTTAGATTTCATATATATGTGTTAGCATACAGTATTTGTTTTTCTCTTTCTGACTTACTCCACTCTGTACGACAGACTCTAGGTTCATCCACCTCACTACAAATAGCTCAATTTCATTTCTTTTTATGGCTCAGTAATATTCCATTGTATATATGTGCCACATCTTCTTTATTCATTCATCTGTCGACGGACACTTAGGTTGCTTCCATGTCCTGGCTATTGTAAATGGTGCTGCAATCAACACTGTGGTACATGACTCTAAAAAAGCAAGAAAATTTGATAACTAAAAAAACTGAGGGGAGGAAGAAGTGGTTAAAATTGAAGAGGGATTACATAATGATAAAATAAATTGAAAAGGTTGTATACTTTTTGAAGGATTTAGGGGTATTGAAAATAGAACTTCAATTTTAATATTTTTGATCTGAGGAATTAATAAGAAATTTAGATATTTTTGTATTTAGAAGTGAGACTAGACTTTGGAAACAGATCAGCTGTAGAAATATAGATTTGGGGGTTACACAACAAGAAAACCCACCTAGAAATTTGGTGTTGGAGCAACAGAAATCTGTAATTAATACATAAGAAGTTAGTACACTCCAGGGTGCCTAAAACATTGAGATACAGTCAAATATTGGAGCAAAAAAGTAATAAAACTCAACAGAGATGGTCTCTCAACCTATGCCTGAACGACTGAAATGGGAAACTGGCCCTTAAATCAATTTAATCATAATCTGCCTGGAATTTAAAAAAATAAATAAATAGAAGAAAAATGTTCCCCTGGAAGGCTTTAAAAAGTTGAGGGGAAGAGTGGCAAAGAGCATTCCCAAGAAACAGTATTAGCCTGCCTGATGTTAGGTTCACCTGACAGATACATGCATAAGACACAAGTTGATTCTGAACTCTCAAAGATAGATGACATTAAGATAACTGAATTAAGTCTTCACACTAAGGTTCCATGTGCACACTGAAACCCTCTGATTATAATCTGAAATTTCATTTCATCTACAGCAGGCCAGCTGACAATAATATGTGGTCTTCTTGTCAGTTACTGTTCTCATTATTAATGAGTACTATGACATCCTGATGTATCCATGAGTCTCTTAATAGCTTACTATGTTGACTGTGAGTAGTATGACTCTGTCCCCCTAAACCTGATTAACACTGAAACTAAACTGGCTTCAAGATATGGAAAGCTGAAGACAGGACAGATAATGGTGACCATCTCCACAGGAATGTCAGTATGAAATGCTGTAGACCTCAGCAGCAGCCTCCAAGTTAACCTCCATCTATGGCTTTTCTATTTCTGCTCTAACTTCAAAGGAATGAAGATACTAGGGAGAAGAGATAACAAATGGAATACAAGTTCTAAGAGAACCAAAATAAAGGCATAAACCTTCATAAATGAGAAAAAAAAATCTTCCTCTGAGCCCAGAAAAACATGAATATGACAGGAGAAAAGCCTCAATCATCTTTCTTAAGTAGAAAACAAGCTCATGAGACAAGGGTAGGTCAGGAGATTTGAGCAGCTCTGTCTCATGAAACTTCCTGCAGCGATGGAAATGTTCACTAGGCACAGTCTGATACAGCAGGCACTAGCCATGTCCGCCAACAGAGCACTGTCAATGTGACTAGTGCAAATGAGGAACTGAATTTTTAATTTAATTAATTTATATTTAAATTCAAACAGTCATATGTGGTTAGTGGCTACTATACTGGATAGAACAGGGGGGAATGAAGCGAGTACAGGATGAGCAGAAAACTTTGTCAACGTTAACCTAGAAGAGAAATTCAAGAGAGTTGTTCATTTACTAGCCCTTTTGAGAATTAGTTTAATTTGTAATACTGAAAGCAACATTGTTCTTGGTCATAGTAAGAGTATCGAAGCCCATCACTCTGTTATTTTATGCTTTCTTCAATGCTGATCCTCAAAAAGCAAACAGGAGAGTAAAGATTGAATCTACAGTTCACAAGAATCTGTGAAACATAAGAGTTCCAGGAGAAGAGACACCAACATTCTGCTTTCCTAACACCTTATGCCCCATTGTTCTTTCCTAAACCAGCTCCCTAAAAAGTAAGGCTTAATACTTAAGTAATTACAGTACCTACGCAAATTGCTTCCAACATAACTCTCCTAGGAGCTCTCTAGATACTTAATATTCAAAGTTATTATGGTATCTGTGTTTCTGAGAAACAAATGACAAAATAAGGGCACTGGCTAAAACAAAGTTTTAAATCCAGTATCAAAAAACCAAAGAAATGGGGCTTCCCTGGTGGCGCAGTGCTTGAGAGTCCGCCTGCCGATGTAGGAGACGCGGGTTCGTGCCCCGTTTCGGGAGGATCCCACATGCCGCGGAGCGGCTGGGCCCGTGAGCCATGGCCGCTGAGCCTGCGCGTCCGGAGCCTGTGCTCCGCAAATGGGAGGGGCCACAACAGTGAGAGACCCGCATAACGCAAGAAAAAAAAAAAAAAAAAAAAAAAAAAAAACCAAAGAAATGTTGCAAAAGGTGCTGCTTTTATTGCACTTCCTGCTGTTGTCCTGCATGACTAATGGCATACACAAAGGATCAGCCTGATATGCAAAGGGCTGACTGAGCAGCAACAGAAGGCTGGAAAAACAGAGCACTGGCCAGTTGCCCAGGGTGAGGACAGAGGGAAAGGAGTAAATAACTTACAATAAAACAGTTGAGGGACTTCCCTGGTGGCACAGTGGTTAAGAATCCGCCTGCCAATGCAGGGGACATGAGTTCAAGCCCTGGTCCAGGAAGATCCCACATGCCATGGAGCAACTAAGCCCGTGTGCCACAGCTACTGAGCCTGTGCTCTAGAGCCCACAAGCCACAACTAATGAGCTCATGTGCCACAACTACTGAAGCCTGCGTGCCCAGAGCCCGTGCTCCACAACAAGAGAAGCCACCACAATGAGAAGTCTGCGCTCGGCAACGAAGCGTAGCTCCCGCTCACCGCAACTAGAGAAAGCCCGCACACAGCAACGAAGACCCAACACAGCCAACAATAAATAAATAAATAAATATTTATTTAAAAAATAAAACAGGGCTTCCCTGGTGGCGCAGTGGTTGAGAGTCCACCTGACGATGCAGGGGACACGGGTTCGTGCCCCAGTCCGGGAAGATCCCACATGCCACGGAGCGGCTGGGCCCGTGAGCCATGGCCGCTGAGCCTGCGTGTCCGGAGCCTGTGCTCCGCAAGGGGAGAGGCCACAACAATGAGAGGCCCGCGAACAAAAAAACAAAACAAACAAACAAAAAAATAAAATAAATAAATAAATAAAACAGTTCAATTTGTGCAAAAAGACACCTGCTTTCAAATGACAAACAGCTTCTGTCCAACTATCCAGATGCTATTTTAAGTAACAGGACAAAAAAATAAACTCTAAAAGAAGTTATTAAAATAAAAATAATTTTAATATTCATAGTGAAAAATAAAGAACAGTCAAGAAAAATATTTTTTAAAGACTAATGAGAGGAATCAGGCCTGCCAATATTAAAAATTAAAATAAAGCCTCAATTTAAAATAATATGGGCTTCCCTGGTGGTGCAGGGGTTAAGAATCCGCCTGCCAATGCAGTGGACACGGGTTTAAGCAGCAAAGAAGACCCAACGCAGCCAAAAATAAATAAATAAATAAATGTATTAAAATAAAAATAAATAAAATAAAATAAGTATGGTACTGGTGCACGAATATACAGTATTAAAAAAAGAAAGCCCAGGGGCTTCCTTGGTGGCACAGTGGTTGAGAGTCCGCCTGCCGATGCAGGGGACGCGTGTTCGTGCCCCGGTCCGGGAGGATC